AGGAAGCCCCAAGAAATTAAAGGCAGTCCTTGATTTACAACAGTTCATTTAGTGACCGTTACGACGACACTGGAAAAAAGGTGACTTACGACCACTTTTCACACTTATGACCATTGCAGCATCCCCATGGTCAGGCAATCAAAATTCGGAGGCTCGGCAACTGACCCATATTTATGACGGTGGCAGTATCCCAGGGTCACGTGATCCCCTTTTGCAACCTCCTTACAAGCAAAGTCCATGGGGAAACCAGGTTCACTTAACAGCGGTGTTACCAGCTTAACAACCGCAGTGATTAACTTAACAAATGTGGCAAAAAAGGTTGCAAAATGGGGCAAAACTCAACTGCCTCACTTAGCAAGAGAAATTTTGGGCTCAATTGTGTCGTAAGTTGAGGACTACCTGTACAGCTCTGTCTGCTTGTCTGCAATGGACTAGGTGAGGGGTAAGCAACCTTGGCTCTTTCATGACTCGTGGACTTCAACTCCCAGAATTCCTGAGCCAGCATGGCTCAGCTTGGAAACCTCTCCCTTTCCCCTCAGCATGGCTGGCTCAGGAATTCTGGGAGTTGAAGTCCACGAGTCATAAAAGAGCCAAGGTTGCCTACCACTAGGTGGAACCGATGATTGAATAGCTTGTTTGGGAGCACGTGAGAGTAGGAATGCAGCAATGTGACCAGAGATACAATAAGCTTATTAATCAGAGGAGTACCATGGACATAATATTCAGAGAACCTTTGAGACACTGCCTCATTTGTTCTCCTTAATAAAATGTTAAATATAGACCAGATGATACCACTACTGTTAGATGGACTTCTAATTAGCAGAATGACTGCCGAAACACTACTGCTAAATGAAATCGTGATTTGTAAACTAGGGTTGAATATGCCACAGTGGCCTGGGTTAATGCTTCAAGTTGTAAATCTTAACCAGCAAACCATGATGGTTAGTATCTGATACCACCCAAGGCACAATGGAATGAACCATATTTTACTTAGAATGATATGTGAATCCAGCCAATCTCTTCAATAAAGCTGGTTAATTCCACATTTCAATCCCTCCTGGCATTCTTTTATTCAGAAGCTTACAGCAATCAGAAGTTTACAGCGATACAGCAATGTGTGTTTCTTTCTGACCTGCTTTATAACCTGGGTGAGCAGAAAATAAATGTTACATTGATTGCTGCAAATTTCTGTTTTTATAACCTCTGTTGAAGTATATATAATAAAACAGTAAATTGCACCAATAAATCAACTTCCATAACAAAGGCCAATCTAATATTTCTTTTTAATTATGTTTTAATGATAGTATTTTGGTATTTTTTGTATTTGTTTTTATCAGGCTGTTAGCCGCCCTGAGTCCGCAAGGAGAAGGGCGGGGTAAAAATCCAATCAATCAATCAATCAATCATAAATAAAATTACATTTATTGTGTAATGCACACAGCCCCTAAAAGTCAAATTTCCTGACTTTGCTGACTGGGAATTATGGAACATCAGAAGTCCAATTGCTTTTGAATTGTGGAGTTGGAGAAGGCTCTTGAGCAGGGGTCTTCAAACTTGGCCCTTTTATGACTTGTGGACTTCAACTCCCAGAATTCCTCAGCCAGGCACGCTGGCTGAGGAATTCTGGGAGTTGAAGTCCACAAGTCACAAAAGGGCCAAGTTTGAAGACCCTTGCTCTTGAGACTCCCTTGTACCAGAGGTCCCCAACCTTTTGGACACCAGAGACCGGTTTTTCCACGGACCGGAGGGTGCGTGGTTTTGTGTGCTGTCTGCATCTCGCGGATGGGGCTTTGCTTGTTTGTGTGGACCGGTTGCTGGCATGCCACGGCCCGGTTACTGGTCCACGGACCGGGGTTTGGGGACCCCTGCCTCGGACTGTAAGGAGATCCAATCAGTCAATCTTAAAGGAAATCAATCCTGACTGTCCTTTGGAAGGACAGAGACTGAAGCTGAAGCTCAAATACTTTGGCTACCAAATGAGGAGAAAGGAAAAGATCCTGATGTTGGGAAACATTGAAGGCAAAAGGAGAAGGTGATAGCAGAAGATGAGATGAACATGAATTTGGGCAAACTCTGGAGACTGTGAAGGACAGGGGTGGTCCATGGGGTTTGTTGGTCGCAACTGAACAACAACAGACATTCAACACCTCAAGTTGTAAAAAGCTGACCTACGTGTTGATTCTGAAATCTTGTAAGGTTTCTTTTAAGCCAAGGGAAATCTCCATAAATTCAACAAGTTTTACTTCTTCCTTTGTTTGAGTCTCAACCACAGGGAGTGCACTAACAGAGCAGTCATGGTTGAACAGAAGTATCAGTTTGAACAGGCCTGTATATCAATAATGCTACCACCTGGCTTAAAAGTTCTTTAAGTGAGATTAACATTATTTTTTTTTTAAAAGTCTCTTTTGTTTTGTTTTGAATAGAAGGCTTATCAAAATAGAGGGTAAGCTTTTGCTGAAGTCTTTTTTTTAAAAAGGGCAGTGTTTATGCAAGACATCTCTTTGTTAAAGAAAAGAATTTGGCTGCAATTTAGTACACATACTTAACAGTGGAAATTTTATTTGCCGAAGGTTCTCAAATATCAGCATTTGCTTTCTTGCATTTTGCACACAAGGAAGCAAACTGCTTGCTTTTCAGTGTTGTATTTATCCATTGTGTGTTCACTTGGCCTTTAGAAAAATAAACGGCTTTCTCCTACTTGAGTTTTTTTTATTTTATGTTTTAAATTTTTAAAAGCAGAATGTTGGGTTTAAATAGTTGCCGATGGTAGCCAAGGTCTTTTGAGAAAGTCTGTGCTCTGGATTCTCAGATAAATACATTTGTTCAACTTCAGAAGAACAGTTTCTCTACTCTTAATTTAGTTTTGTTTGTTTGTTTAGGTGTCAATTAAATTGGTATATCTCCAGGACAACAGCCAGCAGTGAATATATAAAATGGAAACTGGATCAGAAGATCAGACAATCTCCTAATGTGCAACAGCTAACAAACTTTTAGGCAGTTCAGTTTTGTTTTTGTTCAAAAAAAGAAACTATAGGCATTAACGAAATGATAAACAATGGTCTAGAACAGGGGTCTTCAAACTTGGCCCTTTTATGACTTGTGGACTTCAACTCCCAGAATTCCTCAGCCAGGCATGCTGGCTGGGGAATTCTGGGAGTTGAAGTCCACAAGTCATAAAAGGGCCAGGTTTGAAGACCCCTGGTCTAGAAAGAGATGTTCTGTTGTCAACAGCTACCATAGGTAGTCCTCAATTTATGACCATTTAGTGACTGTTCAAAGTCACAATAGACACCCCCCCAAAAGTAGTTATGACACAGTTCCTAGATTCTGACAGCTGTTGCCTCTGTGGTCACATGACCATATTTGATTGCACTCAGTAACCGGCCCACATTTAAGACTGCAATGCAAATGCAAATGTCTGCAAGGAATATAAATCCTTCCATTCCCCACCATCCAGTCAGAGCTGAAGAAGTTTCTTGGATGAGAAGCGAAATGCCTTCAAAGAAAAACAAGAAAGTCCAGTTGCCTCCTGAAAAAAAGCACCTTTGGGACAACCATGACCTGGATGGCTGAGAATCTCCATAGACATCCTTGTCAAGTGGAAATAAGTCAAGAAAGAAAGAAAAAAACACTGCTCCAGCCACCAAAGGATTGCCCATTCTTATGCTAAAGGCCATCCTGGCTTGGTGTCGCAAAGAAATTGTGAGGAACATCTGGTTCCTCTGATGCTGTTGAACTACAACTCCCAAGATCCTTCAGCATTCAAGACAGGTGGGACTGCCAGGAATGGTCACTAAAGGTTATGTTCTGAGGAGGATATTGCACTGAGTCTGTACCAATTGTCTGGGCCTGATGTGTCAAGGATCAAGGCAATGATTTAGAAGCTAACCAGTTTGTATAATGTGAGATGAATGATGCAATGTTAGGAATGACTCAGCAGGAGTCTGTATCCCTTTAAGAGCTTGAGTATAAAAGGGAAGGCCTTGCTGGAGTCTTTCTCTCTCTTCCATTTCCTGCTGTAATCAAGGTTTGTTGGATTCTGCTCTTAGCACGTGTATTGTTCCTGTTGTATAATTATATTATATTTTAGATAAACCACCTTTTCATTATAAACCACTGTTTTCTGTATTTGCTCCTGGGTTGTCTCACACAACAGAAATGTGCAGTTTGTGTGAAGGATACCTATCAGGAAAGTACCTCCACACCATCTGGAGTACAGAGAGCCCTCAACTAACAATCATTCATTTAATGCAGTGTTTCTCAACCTTGACAATTTTAAGGCATGTGGACTTCAACTCCCAGAATTCCACAGCCAGCATTGCCGGCTGTGGAATTCTGGGAGTTGAAGTCCACATACCTTAAAATTGTCAAGGTTGAGAAACACTGATTTAATGACTGTTCAAAGTTACTACAGCACTGAAAAAAGTGAGCTATGACCATTTTTCACACCTAACGACCATTTCAGCACTCCCCATGGTCAGCAACTGACTCATATTTATGACGGTTGCATGTCCAGGGATCATGTGATCCCCTTTTGTGATCTTCTGACAAGCAACATCCATGGGAAAAGAGATTCATGCTACTAATTTAATTACTACACTTAAGAAATGTGGCAAGGAAGGGTTGTCAAATGGGGCAAAATTCACTTAACAAATGTCTTGCTTAGCAATGGAAATTTTGGACTCAGTTGAGGTCATAAGGCAAGGACTACATGTAGTCAAGCATGCTGAAATGTTACGATCTTGCAGTGGGCATCTTCACACCTTGCCTGTCCTGAAGACATTTAGAAAACGTACGAGCCTCGGATGCAAAAACGCAACTAGCCACCTTAACCCCGAGGCCGACTGTAATACCATTCCGGGCCTCACAAATCATTTGGCTAGAAGCCACTTTCAGGGTATTACTAAGTAAAGAAGCATTATAAATAGCTTGGGAAGGCATTTCCTGGCTAAGAGTGACCTCACAAAAGTTGCCCAGATCTCTTAAGTGCGAGCTCTCACCTTATATGCTTCTCAACGCTTTCTGATATTTTTGACTCAGGCTGTCCTCAGCCCCATGACAGGATCAAAGGGTACCTGTCCTCAGCTTTACCTTGGATTTGGAACCCTTCAGGGCCAGTCCATTGATCTGGAAAGATAAGCATAATGATCCAGGTGGAATTCCTGTTGAAACTGGCTGCGCAAAAGCTTATCACGATGTCCTTTTGCTAGCGGCCTGATTAGTAAAAATTAAAAGGCATTTCTTCAGATTACAGTTTATATACTATATGTTTGCTGATTACGGCGAAGGAGAAACAGGGGTTAAGCAAATGTAAGCTTAAATCCAGCATGTAAAAAAAGTACCAAAGGGTTTACAGCTGCCAGATATCCTCCCTGACCATCAGCTCAGCCTATCTACAACGTGGGACCGAATTTGCAACTTATTAAATTCAGAGAAGAAATTGCCTTTGGGTCAAAGGGGTTTGTTTGTAGTCCGTTCCCTCTTTTCTTCTTTTGTGGCCTGGCTTTGGTGGAAGAGAAGCCCATAATCTACCCAGCAGCAGCAGCAGCTGTCATTGTGCAGGTTGTGATCTTTTTTCTCTTCTGTAGATAAGCTATCCAAACATTTGTCCTTTATTTGATTTTTCTGATGTGACTTTGGTCGGGTTTCTAAAAGGACCTGAACACTGTCAGCTTTTAATCTGCCGCTCTCACGCAGCCCCAGTTCTTAAGCTGATTTAGATGGGGGGAGAAGAGACAGAGAGAGGGAAAAGAAGAAGAGGAAGAAGAGGAAGAGGAAGAAGAAGAGGAGGAGGAGGAGGGAAGAAGAAGAAGAAGAAGAAGAAGAAGAAGAAGAAGAAGAAGAAGAAGAAGAAGAAGAAGAAGAAGAAGAAGAAGAAGAAGAAGAAGAAGAAGAGGAGGAGGAGGAGGAGGGAGAGGGAGAGGGAGAGGGAGAGGGAGAGGGAGAGGGAGAGGGAGAGGAGGGAAGAAGAAGAAGAAGAAGAGGAGGAGGAGGAGGAGGAGGAGGAGGAAAGAAGAAGAAGAAAAAGAAGAAGAAGAAGAAGAAGAGGAGGAGGAGGCCATACAGCCTATACAGGTAGTCCTTGACTTACAACAGTTTGTTTAGTGACCTTACAAAGATACAACGGCACTGAAAAAAATGACATAACCATTTTTCACACAACGGTTGCACCATCTCCATGGTCACATGACCAAAACTCAGACCCTTGGCAACTGTCTCATATTTATGACGGTTGCAATGTCCCAGGGGGGTCACGTGATCCCCCTTTGCACCTTTCTGACAAGCAAAGTCAACGGGGAAGCCAGTTTCACTTAACAACTGTGTCCCTCACTGAACAACTGCAGTGCTCCACTTAACAACGGTGGCAAGAAAGGTCATCGAGTGGGGCAAAACTAACTTTAACAACTGTTTCGCTTAGCAACAGAAACCTTGGGCTCAACTGTGGTCATAAGTCAAAGACCGCCTGTACTACTACTACGCCATTTTGTCCCAATCTGTCAACTCACTCCTCCCACGTCTTGCTACGCTAAAATTGTCACAACGCCAACAATATAAAACACGGAGCTAAATGTACCACGAGTCTCATACGGTTTAAGGCAGTTTCATTACACAATCATTAATAAAAGAGATTTGCATGCTGGCTCGTGTCAAGGCTTAGGGGTTTCTCTTCACGCCTGACTTACTGTGACCTGAAGGTGCTTCTCCAATTTTTTTTTCTAGAAAACGTGTCTTAATAGCATAACAAAATTCTGTTTCAGTTTGAACATTGCATTGCCTCCCAATTCAAGGCTTGCTGCATGAGTGATGGTGACCCATTGTGAAGACAAGATAAGATAACCTTTATTGTCATTTTTTTACATCAAAAAATGAAATTTAGTTGCCCGCTCTCAAAGTGAAACACATACATGACACACACCTAAAACATACTATGTACAACATATGTATAGACCCACACCCCTACATATACGTAGCAAATAAATATTAAATACTGTCCCTCTTGAATATATAATGGAAGGAGGAAGCTTGAGAGTTCACAAGGTTAATGCCGTATGGAATGAAACTATGGCTGAATCTGGATGTTCTGCTACGGATACCACGAAGCCCCCTCCTCCCAGAAGGGAACAAGGAAAACAGGTTGTGAAGAGGATGTGTTGTGTCCCAGATGATCTTACGGACCCTGCACAAGCAACGCTTCTGTGCTATGTCCTGGATGGAAGGGAGGGAACTGCCAATGATCTTTTCGGCCATCCTCTCCACTCTCTGCACCGCCTTCCTGTCCGAAGCAGTGATGCTTCCAAACCAGACTGTGATGCTGTATGACAGGATGCTCTCGATCGTCCCCCTGTAGAAAGTGGTCAGGACAGGGGAAGGAAGATGTGCTTTCCTCATGCGACGCAGAAAACGCAGGCGCTGCTGTGCCCGCTTGACCAGCTTCTCACTGTTGAGCGACCAAGCTGGCCTACTTGTTAGTTGCACACTCAGGAATTTGATGCTGGTAACCATCTCCACAGGTGAATCATTAATGCACAGAGAAGTGTGGCTGTGCCTGCCTTTTCTGAATAGTCCTTGACAAGGTTGGACTAATATAATTGGGGAGCTCGGCTCCTACTGGCCATTGTTGGCTGCCAAGGCATGCTATTGGTACTGGGCATTATCTTCCAGACCATGTTAGCTTGTTCTGCAAGAGGAGTTAGGCTCCTGGTTTTGTAGGATGGCAGCCCCTTGGGGAATGTCTGGCCAATATTTTGCCAAACATTTTTGGGGCATCAAACTGGCTTCTGATTTGCACAAGAACGGTGCCAGACCTCTTTTGATAACCACAGTTAGTGGTCTTTCGAAAAAGGAACCACGTTTACCTTAAGTATCATCTTCATAGTCCTGGACTACATCTGACTTTAACAAAGATAATTAGGGCAGGGCTTTTCAACCAGTGGTACGGGTACCACCTGTGGTACATTGGCACCTGGCAGGTGGTACGCGACCATCCTAGAAAAGTGGTAGCAGGGGAGGGGAATGAGCTGAACTGGTGGCAGCACCGTACAAGTCTGAGCGAGAGATGGCTGGAGCTGCAGGGCTGTCAGGGCTCAGTGGAAGCGCCAGGATCAGCGCCAGGCTCCAGCTGGAGCTCGGCGCTGATCCTGGTGCTTCTGCTGAGCCCTGAAGAAGCACCAATCAGCTGGAAAGCAGCACTGATCCTGGCACTTCTGCTGAGCCCAGAAGAAGCGCCAATCAGCTGGAATGTTGCAACATCTCCAGGGTCTTGTGATTTACATTCAGATGCTTGGCAACTGATTCATATTTATGACGGTCACAGTGTCCCAGGGTCATGTGAAGTGACCAAAACCTGCTGCAACCACCCAGCAGACGGGGGGAATAAAAACCAAACATCCCCACCCCACCCCCACTGCCAATCCTCAACAAAAATTCTCACAACAATGAAAACCTCGGACAGGAGGAAGAGCGCGGCTGGGTGGGGCAGGCAGGTGTTTTGCTCGGTTGTGGTTGGGGGGCACTTTTTTCAGTGCCATTGTAACTTCGAACAGTCACTAAGCGAACTGTTGTAAGTCGAGGACTACCTGTACTTTAACCTTTTTTTTCCTTTTTTTTTTTGGTCATCAAGTTTTTGACACCTTGCTAGGCGACCGTGGTACTCAGTCTGTGGTATATCCATTGCCATATCCTAAAAGTGGTACAATGGATGAAAAGGTTGAAAAGCCCTGAATTAGGGGACCGGAGGCTAAAACATACGAGGAACAGTTGCAGGAATTGGGTGTGTCTAGTTTAATGAAAAGAAGGACTAGGGGAAACATGATAGCAGTGATATGCAGGTTCTGAGGTTTTGCTGGTTAAAGAAATACAGGAAACCAGAGAGTGCCTTTTAAGTTTTACGTGTTTATTCAGCTGAATAGAGACGGACTCCTCTAAATGAGGGGAGTAACAAATGACAAGAAATCCTTGTATTTATTCTGTATAATTACATAAGCAACCCATCCAGCAAAGCTGACACACATAAGATAAAGACTGCACCCAGTAAGTCTGGCATACTGTAGATCAGAAGGAAGAAAGCAGAATTAGCTAAACATGTTCTCATTTGAGTGTTACTTAAAGATATCATATGTTCTTGGGTGGGTTAGGACATTGGGTGTTGTCCTTGCTATCCTTTCCTGACCCTGAATCCAGGATTACAAGTGACTAAAGAGAGAGAAGCCATCTATATGTATTCCTAATTAATACTGTCCCCTAATTCCTGGTCATCAGCAGTGTTCCAATATCTCAGGGGCTGCCACAAATAAACAAGGGTCAACCTATTCTCCAAAGCACCTGAAGGCAGGACAAGAACAATGGATGGAAATTAAACAATGAGAGAAACAACCTAGAATTAAGGAGAAACTTCCTAACAGTGAGGACAATTAATCAGTGGAAAAACCTGCCTCCAGAAACTGTGAATGCTCCAACACTGGAGGTTTTTAAGAGGATATTGGATAACCATTTGCCTGAAATGGTATAGGGTTTCCTGCTTGAGTAAGGGGTTGGACTAGAAGACCTCCAAGGTCCCATCCAACTCTCTCTCTTTTTTTTTTGTTATTCTGGGAAATGTCCAATTTGCTGGCTAAGGAATTCTGGGAGTTGAAGTCCACCCATCTGAAAGTGGCCACAGTTGCGAAACATGCCTTTAGACCAGGGGTGTCAAAAAGCCGGCCTGCGGGCCAGATGCATCATGCTGAAACCGTGCCCACCCCATTGCCAGCAATGGGGGAAAAAAGTCACAATACGTCAAGACATGTCACGTGACGTTGCAGAGTTTGACACCCCTGCTTTAGACTGTCAGTTCCATTGCCTTTCAATCTCTGAACTGTGGCAATTGATCAGAAATCAGGGGAAGCTCAGTGTTCTGTCCCCGTTCCGACCCACACACCCAAACAGCCAGCCAAGGGTTAAAGACTTCTCCAGACACCACTTCACAGATAAGAAACTTGGCAGCAGCTCTGTAGCTGCCTGCCAAGACCTTTTACTCCAAACACACAGAAACAAAAACAATACACACAGTTTAAAGCCACAGCAAACTACTTTGCCAGAGATTCAGCTTTTGTCCGTCACAGAGGTCCAAATGGCCACCACCACC